TGAGTGGCCAAAGTTTGAATTTCAAATTCAAAATTTGAAATTCAAACTTGGCGCCAACTATGCCTACTTGGTTGCCGCCAAGCTTGACCTAATTTTCCTCCTATAATTGTATCTCTTCCCTCCTTTTAAAGACACTTTTGAATATATGAGAATTTCTGAACAAATACTTCAGCCAATTCCCTCAAGAGTCACCGAAAATTCCAAGAGAGAAAACCTAAGAGAATGCCTTCAAAAACCTTAGGAAAACCTAGTTTGAAGGGGAAATACATTTAAAAAAAAATAGAAAAACCTGAAAGCCAAATTGTTGTATATAAATAGAGGGTGAGCCAAAAGCACACTAGGTCAGTTCACTTGACTTCCCAATGTGTAGGATGTTAATATAGAAATTCTTTCGACAGTTTTCATAATATTTTGATCACACATAAAAACTTATATTCTAAAGATATGTGATGCTGAGGTTGACTATAGGAGCGGAAGAAGCTTACGAGAAGGAAAGGGAATGTGATTTGGCATGATTAAGAATTAATCAGTTGAGAACAGTTTGTCTGTTGTCTGTGTATTAATCTGTAGGTTTTTTTTTAAATTAAAAGTATCCCTTTACTTGGGGTTGTCTAATAGATGGAATGACCTAACTTAGATCTAACCGATTCTGTCCCTCGTGTTTGACCAGATCTTACTGATCAATGAATGTAGTCTCTTTCTTCAAGCGAGTTGGGGTGTGGATGTTAGTTTATGATTGTATTAACAATATTATATGAACATAAAACTTAATTTATTCAATATAGTCACATTGAGTTTGGAGATACATTTATTCGTAAGGGATGTAATAAGTTTTTAATAATTAATTTAGTTGTGCATGAATAGTTTAATTTAGATCCGATGAATGTAGCATTATATTTATATGACTCACTTATATATGTATAAAATTTTGTGAAGTATTTAATTTGTCCAACATATTCTATGAAGTTTCTAAAAAGTATTACTCAATAATTGAGGAATAATAATTAATTAATTTAGTTGTGCATGAATAGTTTAATTTAGATCCAACGGATGTTGCAACCTATTTATATGACTCACTTATATATGTATAAAACTTTGTGAAGTATTTAATTTGTCCAACACATTCTAGGAAGCTTCTAAAAAATATTACTCAATAATTGAGGAAATTTTTCTATAGAATAAAGTAATCTAAAAAATATGATATAATTGTCTTAATGTTATTAAAAGATATATAAATGACCCATTTTTCCATGTATTTTTATTAAAAGATTTGAGAATGATTTTATCATAATTGATTTTATGTAACATGACATAAATATTATTATTGAAACTCTAAAAAAAAATTTCAAAAGTTGTAAATTGTTGAAGGAAAGAGTTTGGAATAAAGGAGTTAGGAAGGACAAAGTTTTACCTAGGATTATGAATTGAGTATTTATGTAAAAAAAATTTGCACATTAAGAAGTATATACAACAAACTGATTAATACAATTTATATGAGATTATTTTGGATGTGTGTTCTAACGGTTGTAAGGTATCTCGATATAAACAAATATTTTGTATACATCGAGAAAAGGATGGAGTATCAATTGATTATGAAGTATCACATTTTAGTGTTATAAAGAACTCTAATTAATCATACTAATTAGTAATTACATAATATCTTATTAATCATTTGTTGTCAGTTTATTATTAATATATAATTTTTAATCTCAACAAATGAGATTAAAATAAAGTCAAACACATCTGTTATCATATAGATGTATGAATATAGTTGGTTGAGATATGTGATTTTTTTTTTTTTTTGGTCAACAAGGGGGGTTAAGACCCCAGAACACTAAGCATTAACTTGGAGAGTAGCAGAAGAATCTGCAAGTAACAAGCGAAAAATACAGGATGGAGGGGATTCATAAATGAAAACATCCTCCAATGTAGTCTCTCTACTTCTAGAAAGTGTATCAGCAACTAGGTTAGCTTCTCTATTGATGTAAGACCAAGAAACTCTGGATAGTTGAGTTGACAAATCTTTTATCTCCCGAACAAGATGACAACAAGGGTGGACCCTTGAACATCCTTCATTGATTATCCTTATTGCTTCTGATAAATCAAATTCAACCAAGATAACTTGGCCCACATTTCTTTCTAATATTATACGGGTTCCTTGCAATATAGCTCTTAATTCAGCTTCAAGAATAGAGCAGCGTCCAAGGCGTCCAGAGAACGCAACAACGAATTTACCATTAGAGTTTCTCACAACTCCACCACACGAGGCCTCTCCGTTTCGTGCCACCGCTCCATCACAATTCAGCTTCAAAGAAAAAAATAAATAAAACCTTGTTTATTTTCAAGAAAAATGATATCAATGATGACACATGAAGACAATGTTTTATGTACTCAATTGAAAGCTCAATTGAAAGAAAGGTTAATTAAAAGATATAAAATAAAATATATTTTACCAAAATTTTGTCACCCTAAATCATTAAAAAGATGGTGATATTTAACATGTTCGATCAAGTAAAAAGCTAACCAACAAAGTTTTATTAAGTAAATTTTTTTAGCAACCGATAAAAACAAGATTGACATGTGTCGTTTCAAGAATGATAGATTGTCTGAGAAAATAAATATGTTTTACACAATTTTTACCTTCAACTTGATTTTTGCCTCAAAATTACTAAGGTTTTAACAAGACATTCTGGTGTCAAAAGAAAAAACAAACATTCCTCAGATAATAAACATACCAAAAAAATCCGGTATTAAGAATATTTAATATTGATTTTCCATATTCCTTAATAAAGTCATCATATTCCACATTAATACATTAAACCATTTGTAATCATTGAATTGCAAATTTATAAATAAGTTATCTAATTTTGTGAAAAAATATTATAAGGAATTCTCCATTTTCTTCAGACTCAATCTGTTCATTTTCTATCTTTCGCGCTTCTTATAGTTTATAAGTTTACATCTTACTTTTGAAAGATAAAAAATAATGTCAATGTTTTCTTTCTCATGTCCCCTGAATGACAAAATAAGGTTGACGGTATCAAAACCAAATGGCAAACAAATTTTAAAACGAACAAAGAAACTCCAAAGTGGCCCTCATTTTGGGCTATTGCTCCGGTGCCCTCTTATTTGAAGGGGTTTTGGTGCCCCTCAGTACAAAAGTTGGGTTTTTAGGGGCAATAAAGTAAATTGATCAATTTATCAATTTACCTTATTGTCCCTAAAAACCCAACTTTTATACTGAGGGGCACCAAAACCCCTTCAAATAAGAGGGCACCGGAGCATTCCCCCTCATTTTGGGGAGAAATGTTGAAATAATTTCATTACACTATTTGTTTTGAGCCAAATGACGTCGAGAGGAAATAACTCAGCTGAAATTTTTTTACTAGTTTGTTTAATAAGAGTTGTGTTAAATAAGAAATTTATAGACTTAAGTTCTACATTTGTAAATTTCTTATTAATGAAAATAACGAAGAGAGAAGAGAAGTTATTTTTTCTTACACTTTTGTCCCAAAAAAGAATTCTCTCTCATGTGCCTGTGAGTCTTATATTTGAATGAAATATTTTTATTCGAACTGGTATGCTTGTTATTTGCCGAGTTTGCATTTATTAGACTGCATCTCTATTTTATAATATTTATCTATTATTTTTTATTTATTTCTTTCAAATCAAATAAACTCATTTTTACCTTATTTTTTTAATTTATTTTTACTTACTTATTTTTTTATCTTCTATTCTTTCTACTATATTTCTCACCTTTTTTTCTTTTCTCAATTAAACATTGTGTTAAAGACATGGAGAAGCCTCTGATAGGATTTTTCTCGCGCATTATTTCAGCTGGAAATCACTGCAAAATCTCCAAATTTATAGTTTTTGTTAATTTGAAAAAACTCACATATCTCTCTTACAAGTAGTCAGTCAATGATTCTAATTTCTAGCCGTTCAATTTTTTTATTAATATATCCAATAACTTCTATTCATCTGTGTATATTTCCTAGCGCTAAGATAGTTGAATATATTGGTAATGGTAGTATCCATTTTGTCATGCAATGCAGTCGACGGGGAAGAGTATTCATTTCATAACCTGCACTGTAATTGTACAAGTAATCTAAAAAAGCATGTGGGGTGCTTACTTATTTCCTTGCTCTTTTCAAGAGTAAACGCAACGAAAATATCCCCAAAGCAAAAGTTTGCCAAAACCATCCTCTTGCATTGGCAGGATCCACCCTTTTAGCCAGGTACCAAGCATAAATGGCCTCACCAACATGTGCAGCTGTAGCTAGAAGAAACACCAGCCTTGTGACCCACATTGAGCGAAAGAAAAATAGACACAAAGCTCTGAGAAGGGATATAATCCCTATGTCAGGTAAGAAAGCACCGCAAAACAGTGAGATCATTCCAATGACACAGAATAACCACTCGCGCATTGTTGGACCATCCAGAGTTTTCCTTTTCCTCTCCTGCCAGTAAGATATGGTCGAAGCCATCCCCTCTCTCGGGCTCACCATGGGAACATACCCGATCTCCTCTTTGGCTTTGAGATAAGAGAAATAATGAGTCACCCCCACCTGTCAAAAAAACAAATAATGAAGGAACATGGTATAGCATTCACAGATTATGCATCCTCTTTTAAAACACACGGCTGCTAATTTCCAAGTTAGCTACCTAGGGCATCTAGTTCTTAGTTGTGTTTTCAAATATAAGAACAGACTCTTGTAAATTTTACCATTGAAACAGTATAAAGTGTTACCTATGGTATAAGAAACAGCAAAATATAGAAAAGTTCTTAAATCCTATGTGACATGGAAAGACCTATAAAAAGTGCATTCATAACTCAAAATGGGTTCTATTATTAGAGAAAAGGAGTGACCTTGTGTACTTCAGAGGGAAGGATGAATGGCTGTGGAAGCCACCACCGATCGAGCCATGGATATAGGATTGTGTAAACAGCCGAGCAAATCCTCCCAAGAACAAGAGCACGATCCACAGATAGGGAAGTGTTTGGTAGTTCATAATCCAAACTCCTAAGTAGAGGTTGAAGGAACTCAAAAGAATTGACCGGGGAACCTGAAAAATAAAAAAAGAAGATTGAGCAGCACAGCTTTGGTCGGCATAAAAAAAAAAAAAAAAAAAAAAAAAATTTAAATATATATTTAATCTCTCAAATTTAATATAAATTTATTTTTAATCTTTCAAATTTAAAATTATTATTTTTAATTTCTGTAATTTTTTAAAATTTTGTTTTAGTCCCTCAAACTATCAATAATATATCCAAACAAATTAAGAAGATTATGCATTATCAAATGGATTTAATATGATATTTTCACTAATAAATAGATTTTATACAATAATATTTAATAAATACTTTAATAAAATTTGAATATAAAAAATTAAATAATTTTTGTTTGAAATTATTAAAACTAAAAACAATAATTTTAAACTTTATACGCATATTTTAGCAAAAAAATAAAAAAATAAAGAAAGATTACCATCGGATATAAAGTAGGCCTGTCCAGCAGCTACGGGGCGTTTTCCCTTGGCAAGGTTGTGATCCAAAAGTCCCATACTGGCAAGAATAAGAGCAAGGACAAGGTTATCGACAAAAAGCCAATCCGATTTCACAGTTGGGTCACCGATTCGGAAGAAAAGGAGACCCAACTTTGCCATGGCTACTATCCTGGGGAGGTGCCTGTCTTCGCCGGGTCCATAGATTGCAGCTGGACGAAGGGCACAAGTGTAGAGACGATTCCCGGAGTGGTTCTTGAAAGAGCGGGCATTGTTCTTGAGAACGAGCTGTTCGGCAATGGATTTACTGCGGCCATATGCGTCGACATGGTTATCGATTGGGAAATAAGGCAGCGTCTCGTTCCCGTTGATGATCTGTTGACCGCCGAAGACAACGTTGTATGTGCTGCAGTACACGAGCCTTTTGATGCCGAGGTCGAGGCAAGCGTCGATGACGTGGCAAGTGCCGTTTATGTTGACTTGATCAACGCGACCGAATTGGAGCATCTCTTTGCCCGACATTCCAAAGGCCGCGAGGTGGAACACACACTCTGCCCCGCGGAGAGCCCTTTCCACGTCTTCTTTGCGGCCAACATCGCCTTTGGGTTCAGTCGGAGGTATCAGAAGAAATGATAATAATAATAATAATAATAATAAATAAATAAATTGAAATATGGAATCGAAATGGGAATGAATTGAACCTTGGATGCAGAGGACTCCGTTATCCTTGAGAAGAGGGGACCAAGGAGAAGAGGGGCGGAGGTCAAAGGCTCGCACCTCTCTCGCACCTCTTCGGATGAGCTCCAAGCAGAGAGCAGATCCTACGAATCCCAGTCCACCCGTGACCACGAACCCCTTCCCCTCTATCCCTTCGTTCTCGCTCAAATGCATTTTTCTTTTTTTTTTATCAGATCTCACTCGCCTCTTCAATTCCACCTACACTCGCGATACCATACATGCCCCTTTCCCCCACTTCATCACATTTAACCTCGCTCCCTATGGCTATACGCACACCATTACCTCTTCTTCTTTAAAATAAAATAATAAATTAAGGAAGCCTGAGATTTTTTTTATGAAGATTATGATTCAGCATAATCATAAATATGTTGCTAATTTTTTTTTTAATAATCATTAAAATTCATTTTTTACCATAAATATTCTTCAAAGTATTTATAAATATTATTTTAAAAGAATGATAATGTGATTGTGTCATTTTTATTACATTAAATAAAAGATAATGTAAACAAATAGACAATAGTATTTTTCTTTATTTTTCATTTTAAAAATTTATGATAATCTCTATAAAAAAAATAATTTGTCGCAATTTTTTTATTAATTTTATTTTTTATTTAACTTTTAGTTAATTATACATTTAGAACTAGAATATATATATATATATATATATATATATTTAGTATTATTTTATAAAATAAAATGATGCGATAAATTATCAAATTATTTTAGAATTTTATTTAATTATTAATATTATTAAATACATTACTAGATCAATTAAATTTGTATTATATATATATTTGAAGTGATCAAATCATTACAATTATTATAGTTTAATTTTATATAAAAAGTGAATTTGATTGATTCAACTGTTGAATTGAAAAAAAATTATTACTTATATTATAAATACAAAATTTATATTAATTCATAATTTTTGATACTTTATTCATATAAATTAAAATTAACGTAATATATATTTTTCAAGATGTACTAAAAAATATGAATCATTTGATAATCTTTTTATTGTTGTCTAAGTTTAACAAAATTTGACATAAATAATATGAAGTTGTAGTTCTGGGTCGATCAAATTAATTTTTTACATAAAGTTATTAAATGATGAAATAATTGGTAAAAATTACATCATTGTAGTTTTTTACATTTATTGGCTTGTGTATGAAAACCTTAAAAAGTAATTTGATGGTGAAGATAAAATATAAAAATATAATAGAACTAGATGGATACATGTGTGATGCACAACTTATATTAAAAATTTCGGTAGTTTAATTTTAAATTTATTATATAAATAAAATTTGACAACAACAATAAGTATAAAATATAATAATATTAAGAATAAGTCAAAAATAATATTAAAAAATAAATATATATTAAATTATTGTTATAAATTATGAAAAACCTCTTTGTGACTAATATTAGAACACATTTTTGAATCTTTATTTTTATTATTAGTAACTAAAAATTTTAATCATCATTTTGATATAACTCTTAAAACTGCTACATATAATTGATCATAAGAAAAAGTGATTTTGGGAGATACACTTCAACATATTTTAAAGATTAGTCTTGCTTTTTGTTAATAGTCATTATAAATAAAATGACATGTAAAAATTACTTTGTTAAAATTTTAATAAAATGCTAGCAATTTTTATAATTCTTATAATCATATTTTAGGAAAAAATGTTTACAATTTTTATTAACCCTAACTAATACGTGTATTTTATAAATATGATGGCATGTATTGCCTATCATGGATTCATGAAATTTTTTATCTCTTATTTTTTTTTATTATCTTCATTTTTTGAAATATGGAAATATTTAAAATATGCTCTTTTTATTATTTTTCTTTGATGATATCTAATTCAAGATACACCAACAATTTTGTTTCATAAAACGTATTTGATATTCTTATCAGTCTTGAAATTAATATGAACTAAATATTATATTAATTTAGATAACACTGTAAAATTGTTTCAAGTTTGAAAGGAATATATTTTCCCTTTATATTTATTCAATTCATTAGAATTATGAAAATGAAGTGTGTGTTTCATTTAATTCGGGTAACTTTTTCAAATAATACAATTTAAGTTATTGTACTTTTAATAACATTATTAAACAAAACATATAAAATTTTATCATGTTAGTAAAATTTAAAATATTAAGTAAATTAATAGAGGTCTAAATTTTGTTTTCCTTTATATATAAAAGAACAAAAAAAAATTATATAATTATTTAAAAAAAAAGGAAAAACCTTTAAAATATAAATCTTAATAATTTAATATCTTCTGATCAAGAAGAAATATTTTTTACTAGATGATACATTTTTATTATGGAAGTCAAATACATTTTATATCCACTCGATTTTTCATAGAATAATGTTTATTATAAAATTTTGTTTTGTTTTCATTTTAAAATAAAATCAAATAGTAATAGTAATATATTCGTTGGATAAAAGTTTGCGTGCTATTGGTAATGGATTATGATAGCAAATGTTTAAATATATAAGAATAATTTTAGGACGATAAATAATTAGCAATTATTAATAATAATATTTATAATTGTTAGTAATGTCTAATTGTAAGAAATAAGAACTTTTGATGATTTTCTATTTACAAAATCAATAATTAATTACGGACAAATACTCATTATTAGTAACATTTTTAAATATAATTAAAATGATTATTAATTTACTCATTTCTCTTTTTTTTTTTTAATTATTAATTTAGCATGTCCTTATTTTATCATTAAACATCAGAAATTTAAGTTGACTTTTCACGAAATTATATATTTTTAGCAAAATATAATCATTGAATTTAAATTAAAAAAAAGATTACATGTTATATGATGTTTATATAAAAATTAATTCAAATCTTAAATAAATCTTTTTTTAATAAATTTCAAAATATATATATATATATATATATATATATATATAATTTTAAATGTGCGACAATGAAACTAATTTATATGAAATATATGAATGATACATATAAAATTGTTTGTGTTCATAATAAATCTGACATTATAAAAAAAATTAAGTAGTTATCATGTATAAAATAATGTCATATTAATGCATACATTAAATTATTATTTTAAATTTTTCTATATTCATAATAAATATGACATTATAAAAAAAATAAGTAGAATTTATAAGGAAATATAATAATTATTAAAATATTTTAATCTAATTATTTGTATTTTTTATATATATATTATTTTTTCCTTTCATTTTGATATTTTTATATAATATATTTTGTATTAATTTTTATTTTTATTATTAATATTTTTATATAAAAATACTTTGATAGATTTTTTGATAAAAGGAAGTTGTTACAAAACTTATTCCTTTTATATTATTAATAAATAAGAGTAATATATGATAAAAGTGTTGATAGTATGATTTTTTTTTATTTTTTTTTCTTAAAAGTCACCCAAAACTAAACAATAAAATTAAGTGAGATTTGGATTGGTTATACTCGAATAAATTATGAAATTCAAACCTAATCGCAAAAGGAGTAGTTTTGTTTGATTTGGTTTTGGTGGTTTTTTAAATTTTTATTTAAAAAGCAACTAAAAATATATAATTGTATGTTATTTGTTAAAGACCACACATAAAAATAAAACTTAAAAGTAAACAAATACTAAAATATTTTGGTCACTTAATATATTTAATATCAATTTTTATCTTATTATTTTAAAAATATATATTTCTTTAATACAATGTTAGTTATTATATAAAATATTTTTTCTCATATATATAGTTTGTTACTTAAAAAAATATTTTAATATTATAAATAAGTCATAATTTTTCATTTCAAAATTTAGTTTAGTAACTTGTAATTTTATAAAAATATATTTTAAATATCATAGCATATATTTAAAGAGAAAAATATCTTTTATGATATGCCAATTTGTTATACCTACATGATGCATTTAGTAAGTTACAAATAAGTGTAGTTTGATTTAATTTAAAATAATTTCGATTTAATTTAAAACAATTTCATATTTTAATTTGAAAATTAAATTAAATCGTAAAATTTTGAAAATTTAAAAATCAAAAACTACATTTGTGGAACTACTAATTTACAATTTACATTAATTTTTAATTAATTAATTAATTTATAATTTTTATTTGGATTGATTTAATTTTAAACATTTTTATATGACAAGATTAATATGTAATAAGGACATCAATAACTTTTTCCTTCATAAGTTACATTTCTTTTGTAATGATCCATTCCAATTATGCTAGCATCCATGCTCTGATTATTATTTTTTATTGTTCTAATTAAATATTTTACCGATTATACCAGTTTTATAATATTATCTAAACATATTATGACTCATTCAATAGTCAAAAATACTTATTTATGATATTTTTTAATAAATAATAATAATTAAGACTGACATAGCATATTATTAGATTTAGAATAAATTTTAAGATGAAGTTTTTTTAGAAAAAAAAATTAAATATTTTTAATAAAAATATTATTAAATATAATTATTATAATTTCAAATATAGTTAAAATAATAATTATAATATATATATATAAGTAATAATTGAATAATATATTATATATAATGTATCATTTTAAAATATTAATTTTTTTATTTCTTACTTTATTTTATTTTATTAATCAATTATAAGTTTTATTTTATTTTTTACATGCTTTTTATATATTTAATTTTTTATATTTCTTCCCATTTTTTCTCCTCTATCAAACATAACATTACTGTTATCACTCTTATTTTTCCTGACAGGCTGTCACATAATAACAATAGTTAAGAAAGCGACTGTAATAGCAATGACATCCTAGTAATGAAATGGTGGTAGGGGAAGAAATTGTAAAAACCTATAATTAAAACAGTAATAGTTTTTTTTACACAAACTAATAATAGTAGTTGTTGATTTTTTTACATTAAAAAAAAGTACTAGTTAATAATTCTGACTCCCGAGACTGGGAATAAATATATAATGTTCGCACAAGAATCAGAATGGTGGTACACCACATCGGACGGTGTGCCTCTGGAAATTTATTGTGGTCACTGGTCCATTAATTAATGTATATTAAAATGATGTTGTAGGGACTAGGGACAGACTTAGGAATAAGAGACTCGGCAGCTCCACCACTATTTTATTTTTTTTTATCATTTTAAATTATAATATTATAATTTTAAATATGGTAAAAAATATATAATAAAATATTACTCTTAATAATTTATTTTAGTTTAGTTATTTTCATTATCTCAATTAGATATTTTTAATATTATTT